GGTATCAAATCCCTTTAAACAATAGTCTATAATTTGTTTTTTAATATAATTTAATACAAAAATAAATTTCTAAATATCTGAAGATCTTTCTTATCTAATTAACATTATTAACAGCAGAAACATTGGAAATATTCTGATTATTAGAGAAAAAAAAAAATCACCATTTTATGTATCAACATACTTCAATAATTGTTGTTATTTCATTTGATATAGAAACTATAATATAAAATTGTTCACATAATATATAACATCTAATAAATAAACCACAAATTTTGTTTAATACACCTAAAATATTTATTTGAATATCACACATGTATTTTATTTTAAAGAACCATAACCAAAAAAACCCAAATAAAATTTTCTGAAATTAAAGACTGGATTATTATTATAGTTAATAAATTATTAATCAAACAATACAAATATGGGTGCTTATGAGTATATTATGCATGCACTATCCAATTGAGTCAGTCATATTGAAACAAACTAAATCATCATCTATACACCAACAGATAGCTTTTAATTTTTAAACATGGGTAGAATTTGTATAATATACATGAATTCCAGGTGCTTATACATTTTTTAGAATTAATTTCAAGATAAGTTGATATTTTTATATCATTATACTCTATTTAAAATAAAAAAACACAGTTGGCGACGACTCGTTTTCTTATTTTGAATAGAGTAAAGTATACAAAATTATACAACCAAATAACTAATATATATATATATATATTTAAAATAGAGCAAAAAATATATTACAAACTAATTTAAAACATAGAAAATGTATAAATAAAGCTTAATATTTTTACTCACCAGTTTTATCGGTTACTGATTGAGGAAGATTTTTAGGCGGATGAACAGGAAGTGGTCTATGTACATTTGGTTCTTTTTGTTTTTGTTTTATAGTTTCATTAGTTTGTTTGGCTTTTTTTAACARATAAAGATTTCTTAACCGATCYCTCATTTCTTGATAATTGCGACTAACAGGCGCAACAGAAGGCTAAAAATATGAATGAAATATTTACTTATGACGTTCAATATATACCAATAAAAAGTGATTTTTATTTATCAAAAATCACTTACTATTTCAAAAACTATTAATATTTTTTGAATATTCCTTTTACATAATTTTAAGTAGTTTCAAAACAAGATTTTTAGACAAGTATTATATGTTATAATAAATATTACAAATTGAAGTAAGGAAATAAGTAATCCAAAAAATATTGATTAATTACTACTGTGGATAGTAATATGAATATTGCATACATTAATCTAAACTTCGAATTCTTAAAACTTATTATTTATTAACTATATGTCCTAAATTTAATTTTTATGTATTGAAAAATTCCAAATATTTTACTTTTGAATAATATGAAATTAGAAAAATTAATAATAATTTAAAAAACTAAAATCCCTTAAAAATTGCGAATAAAGTGCTGTTTAATAGTAACTTAAAATTTATGTAAAGAGAATATTTTTAAGTGCTAATAGTTTTTTGTTAAATGAATCATCTAGTATAATTATTATAGTAAAATTATCCTTTAAATACTTACAACTCCATGCCCAAAAACTTCACAATAACAACAGTCACACTGCCTTGGACTTGAAGAAGAACGTTCAGAGCAACTATCATCTTGACTTGAACGGCCTGAACTACATTCTGATGTTTCATCGTGATGATGCATACGTTTTACATGTTCAGTATGTTTATGACATGAATGACCATGCACTGGACGGTTATTTGGTTTAGCTGTTGGTTCTGTGGGTTTACTTACATGTGGATACGGGTATCGTCTTTTAGGTAACTGTTCTATTTCAACTTTACAAGTTACATTTCGGTCAATGGTTGACGGACATTTTATATTAACCACAGGTTTTGATTTRATTTGAGCATCTGAATTGAGTACCTAAAAAAAAATATCAAGTATATTATCCATTAGTAAAGTAGAAACAAACCAAATATGAAACATATTTAAAATTGTAATTAAATAAACATCACAAATTTATTTCTAAAATATGAATATTATTTAATCATTTTATATAGAAGAACATATCTATTTAAATATGTAAATATTTAAAAATAATTTACCTTTATAATTTTAGTGAAATAAATTGTTTTAGACATTTAAATGAGTAGTGATATTAAAATCATTATCCATATTCATTCCCAATATATTATTTAGTTAAATAAATTTAACTTAATTAAACAATACAAGTAAAATTGAGAAATTATATAGAAAAAAAATAAATTATGTTTACCTTTTTCCCTAGATTTTTAGTAATATTTACTGTTGTCRCTGGCTTTTCATCTTCATCAATAAATGTTTCGCCACTATAAAAACATAACATTTTTTCTTTCATATTAGAGTATGAAAAAGTAATTGAATTAATTTCTTCGGTTTCTTGTAAATTTGTACATTTTCCATTCTGCACACAGTGTTCAAAATCTACAGAAGAATTTTTTCGAGTCTCCACCTACATTTAACAAATAAGTATATTAAAATGTATGGTTAATTAACTTAACATTTTTTCTGAATTAATTACAGTATGTATGCAATCACAATAATTAGAAACACCATCATCATCTATATCTTCGCAATTATCATTATTTACTCTTTCCCTAAAAATTAAAAAACAATATAATTATTAATTGTTTTAAACTTTGTAAAAATATAATTTATTTGAAACTAACTGATACTCAGGAGCTGGTGATTGAGGTGGAGTTGGGATGGTAAGATCTAATACCAAATCATCATTTGGAGGCAGTGAGGAAAACATACCATTATCTTCTTTTAACATAGTTTCTTTATATTTTTTTGCACCCATAGCCCATACTTCATTACATCTATTTATATAAATAAATACTATTAAGTCAAAATATTATTTAACTCTCTATAAAGTGATTACTTGATGTTATGAATACATGTCCTTGCTTCAGCCCATTCTGAAATATTAAGTTTTACCTCCTTTACAAATTTTGTGTAATCATGAATTAAACTTGCACTCAATAAAGACTTTGACAACATTGGTATTGATAAAATCTAAGAAGAAAAATGGTTAGTATTTTAATGAAATAAAATAACTTATAGGTATCAAAACATACTTGTTCTATAAATGTAGTTACAAGATGATATATCGTTCTATCAGCATAAAGCCGACTATGATATAAATATTGGTTCATCATTCGCCACGATAAATTAAATTTTGAAAGATGATATTCTTCAATTGGTTTAATAACATCTTTTAAATGATCGGTAGCAGCCATTAATCTTCGATAGCTGTCCAATAAACCTAAAATATAAAATTAAAATATTAATAAAATTTAACAAAATTGTTCCAAATAACTTACAAAACACAAAAACTTGAGGCATTTCTGGTGTTTCTTTATTTTTATTTTCAAGTATTTGTACTTGTCTAGACCTTGCTTCTAATACAAATTCCATAACAAGGTTTTCGACATTTTGAAATACATGATAAGAATCGCAGCTTTTAGACCTAAAAAATTATAAGTCATTATTTTTTAATATTATATATCTATAAATAAATAAATCTTACTCGTAAGCGGCTTCTTTAAAAATATTATGGGGTGGATAGCGTTCAACTTCAACACCATCCATAGCCATTCGATACACAGTACGAATGTAAGACATAAGAGAATTCCATTTTGTTTCCCATTTTTGCACTTCATTTTCTTCACTAGAGGTAAAAAAATATGGTTATATAAGTAAAATATTAAACATCATGAAGCATGAAAGTATCTCATTACTTTGATTCTTTGTTTCTAATGAAATCGCGGAAGTTATAACAACATTCTTTGTCTTTTTGATTTAAGAGGTTTCTACAATCTTTTTCAAGCTGAAACACAAATAAATTCATTAATAATATACTAAAAGAAAATAAGTAGCTACTTTACAAAATAATGCACAAAAACTACATAAGACACAAAGATAGTATGAAGAAAGTTCCTACGTAATTATTAAATTTGTAGGAAATTGAAATTTTTTCAAATTGATTAGTTATACTWATTTCAAAAAGCATGAAGATCAATTATCTTAAGAGTTTCCATCTATTAACACGTTGGCTACCATGAGTATCACGGTTGTCTCACACCATGATACAATAGACATAATTTT